ATTTTTTTTTTAATTTTTGCTAAATATAGATTTTTTAAAAATTTATAATTACTATGGAGAAGATAATTTAATGAGGACAATTTGAACTAATGGCAATTTTACAGCGATTTCATAATTGTTGGTTGATTAGTGATGATAGTGTTTTTTTGCTGCAAGTTTTATAATATAAAAATAATTGTAAGTTAGAACTCCAAACGTGGCGTAAGCATAATGAGTGATGATTTTAAACGTGGCGTAAACATAAATGAAGATTTGAAAGTTATAATTGCTAATTTGAAAATAATTATTAAATATGATGGAGTAATAAAGCTAACTTACCGATACTTTTCCATTAAATGAGGAGAGAAACTGACGCACACTACATAGCTCATGCACAGTAGAACAATGCATAACGTGAACAGGTAACAATATAATTTCATTTTATATGCAAATTTTGCAAGTTATAAGCATAACTGAAAAATTAAAAGGTTTAGAGTAAGTATAAACGACTAGAAATATGTCTAGACAAGAACATATCAGAATTTTATTGTAGAACTCACAGAAACCTCCGAGCATTAAGTAAGGATGAACTTGCAACTCATTTCGATAGAGACACTATTTGCAGCAGCTTATATAATAAGTACGGTCCGTTAAATTTCTTTCTAATATACAAATTATTTGTGCAGGAATACTTTTGTCCTGATGACCTTTGAAAAAAGTTTATTTCAGTGGTCAGATTATGTTTCTTTTTTTTTCTCATTGGTAATTATCGATTGAAGTTCTGAGATCTCGAAATATTAGGAGAGATTCTTGAATGAAAGCAAAATTTTTGTGATATTTTTGAATTTTTGCATAATGCAATTGACAAATGTAGAAAAAACACTGTTTATGAATTGGTTTATCACACAGTCGACATTATTTTAATTAATTGAATACAAATTGTTTAACAATTGTCGTTCAACAGTTTTTCACAGCGATGTTTGTGTTAAATTGAGGTTAGTATGAATGACGAAGAATAATTCCTTCTGTGGTTCACTAACTTCAGATTAAATATGAAGACATCGCCTTGATATTCATAATTTATGAAGTTAGATTCCTACAATCAATAAAGATATTGTTATGTGTTGTTATTGTTTTTAAACTTATACAATGTTCTTTGCAAAATTACAATTGATATTATTCTATTTGAGGTATCTGCAAGTTGATCATTTCATTTTATTTGAAATTTTTTCCATGTTTAGACATGAAATACATAAAGATTGCTCCGATAGCTATGCCAGCAGTTTGCAAAATTGTCGACCGAATGCTTGCACTCAAATCCACTTTTATTTGTTCGTTTGCCAAATCGCGGATTTCCGGAATCTGAACGTTTTATTGCTATTATTATTATTATATAAATTTTTGAAGAGTAAACTTAGAAAGTATGGTAGAAGAATAGAACAGATTTGTCATGAGAAACTTGAATTTCTTTAGCATTGATACGTAGACGTAGCTATTTAATGATTTTATTACGTTAGTGTAACGTGATTTTGCTAAAGTAGATTTAGATTTTAAATTGAAGTTGCAAAAGTCATATTCAGTGTGGTTCTGTATAATTTTAAATTCTTCTTGAATTAATGACGGAACTTATATAAAAAATCACTTACCAAAGTACCTAAAAATATATAAAGATACATGCCGGAGGACACAGCATACACATAATCTATGTGTGAATCCTCCATGTTACCGAGAAGAATACCCAAAATAAAACCAAGATAACTAAGCATATTTGGAATTAGGCTTAATAAAAGAACTCGTTTGAATCCAACTCCTGACTGGATCATAATTGCCAAGGATCCTGTAAGCGATACTTTTACAAATTATTGAAAACGTAATTTTTCATCTAAATTTTAAACTAATCTGAAATTTGAATCTTTGAATAAATTTCACAGTAAGCTCAAAAATGACTATGCAGCACTGTCCCAGAGTTGTAGTAAATTTAAAGACTACTTTTTAGCTAATAGTACTGCAATAAAACAGTGATAATTTGATGATAATCTTGCAGCAATCCAAAGTTTTCTTCATTATTCAACTACAGTACTTGAAGCATATATTTATCACTAGAAGATTTGAAATATGAAAGACATAGAAATAACCAATGTCCTGAGGTAACTGCTGCGCAATCACTGCAATTCCGACACTTAGACCTTGAGGAAAAGAATCCATGAATGCAGCACCGATGCTAATTCCATCAACAAAATTATTTGCAGAAGAGCCAAAAATTATCATCCAAGCGACTGCAGCGAAATCCAAGTTGTATGGATCTAAAACCTTTTCCTCCAACACCTCAACATTCACTGAAACCTGTTCGTCTGCTGCTGCAATCTGAATAAAGCGTTTAGAGATAAAGAAGATACCAGACTTCTCATTGTAAGTACCCAAAAAACCTTCACTTCTGAAGCAAAAATCAAACCTTAGGAGAAATAGAGGTTGTTTCTCGTAATTTACACATATCTTTTTTCAGCTGTGACACGGCACTTACTGTGCCATTTTCATTCTTAAATTACGTTACTGTTTTTCTTCGATAATTAAAAATTCCATTAATTGAAATTAAATACTTAAAATATGATTATTGCATTAAATAATTTGAATTGATTTAAGTCATACATTAGGAACCGTATTTATTTTCTCAAAAATGTATTCATTATTTGTGATTCGCAGCACAGAAATTTTTTTT